TCTGCTTGTTTTGGAAGCTTGAAACGGCACACAAGTGGTGACTATGAGACGGCTTGCTACTGAGCTATCACCGGCCGCCTCGTGTTGCAGTAGGGAGAGGTTGAACCGCAGCTAGAGGGTTCACTTGATATGAAAATGCAAGCTGCCACAAGTCTACCATAGCCTTCTTTGCAGCCGAAACTTGCCTCCTTACAAGTCTGCAATATATATATAAAAGAAAGGGATTATTTATCAATGAAAAGGGCAAATTTGATTTCCTCTACAGCTAGTTCAAATTTACTACCATTTCTTATTCAAGCAGTATAAGAATTCAGCAACCAATAATTGTGATCTAAGTTAATCACTATTCAAAGAGTTTCGATACCCGCTGATTACAAGTTCTCTAAAACTGCTAACTAGGAAGCACAATTAGTCTTTTCTTGGTTTACTTTCTATGTGATATAGCCATCCCTAACTAGTTTGGAACAAAGGCGTAGTTCACTTTCTTACTTTCAATCACATAAAGGTTCAGTTCTTGCATGCATAACCATGAAGCAAGTGACAGGGTGAACTTTAAGTGGAATCCTATTTGTGCCCCCTCTATCATGAAAGGATTGATTGCAGGAATTCAATAACACATCTTACCCATTCAATGCAGCCCCTTTCCTCCGGAGAACATAATATGTAAGAAGGAAGAGAAATCCAAGGAGAATTTTCCCATTTGTTCCCGCCACTCGAACATTCCCAAACTTCAAATTCACTGACCGGAACCACCAAAGACATGGATCTACACGCCTAGACAGCTTCAAAATTGTCTGTTTTGTATTATTCTCTCCAGTAGGCAGGTAATTGGCTTCTAGTCCTTTTGGAGATCCCTCGAAACCATTTAGTTCTTTTGACAAAGAATAATGAGCTTCGTGGTTATTTTCTGGCATGACCGCTGAGACTTGTGATGAATTGATGGTTTTGAGAGAATATAGAGAGTGTAGTCGCCTCAAAAGTACCTGCAAAAAAATGGCAATATAATAAGATACATAGATTAGCCAAAATTCCACAACTGTTTGATTTATGGAAATTCAGCACACAGTTAATTCAAGCAATTCACAAAAGTGGCTGATACCAACATAAGATGCAAGATTTTAAATTTTACCTGTCGTCTTTCCTCAGGTAATGCAGATTTCTCGACCCATGAGATTGCACTGTCCATGTCCTTCAGAGTCGTGCCAAGAAGTGTCACAGCATAGACTTCAACAACCTCCATATACTTGTCAACTTCCATAATACACCTCCTGTCACATCCATCCTGCACATCAACATCTACTTCTGCACCAACAAGAACATAGTGCTGTCCATCCACTAAACTCCAGTTGCTGAGGAACTCCTCAAGAAACTCTCGGACACCAGCAGAAGAAGCTCCTGATATCTGAAAACATGCCCTGACAAATAAAAATGAAATCAAAGTGACTCCCACCTCCACAAAATATAGAAGCACATTTGACCAAGGCATTTGTTCAAAACTTGTATGCCATTGATAAGCGGGTCAAAGACAGTAAACGTTCAATAAACTCCTAGTACCTTCTCGAAAACTTATTTAAAGTAACCTATCAAAATGTTACACAAAGTCCATAATTAACCTTCTCAAGAACTAAGCTACACTATCATTAGCTAAACATACATATCTTCATTGCAAAGCCAAAACCATTTGAAGAAGCATTTTTAGCACTTCCTGATATACAAACAAATCAAAACACAAAATTATACAACTAAAACCCTTCACATGCATTGAAAGCAAAATAACTTTCCCATCTGAATTAAAAAAAAAAAAAAACAGTGATTTGAAAAAGGTAAAGAATACCCTGTGAGAAGAACTTGAACAGGAATATCTGTAGCAGAAACAAACAGCACTTTAAGCTCGTTTAACATAGCTGATGTCCTGCATTGAACGTCATAAATTTCATTACATTTAGATAGTCACCATAATTTGCCAATACCATACCGCACAAAACAGATTAAACCCAAAAAACCCCTTCTGAAAAATTCTAATGATATGAAACAAACAGCAAAAACAAAGAGAGAATTTACATCTTTACCTGCCAAGTTGATTCAAAGCCTGAACAAACACCATTCCAGCTGATTCCAACATGTCAAACAACTCATTCTCATCAAAAGCTTCATTTTTATCAGAGATGTTGCTGCCTTTTAATTGTCTTACAATTGAAGAAGCTAAAGTCGCTGCCTCTTCATACATGGAACAAACTAAGTAGCTGCGAAAATTAATTAAAAAACAGTACCAAAAATCAATTTGTAAAAATCCCACAAAAACAAATGAAAGAAAAGGATCAAAACTAATTACTTACCTCTCAGATTGTTCAATTTCTTGCCAAATTGAAGAAGAACTCGAGTCAGTCTCACCCATTTCTCTCTCTAAACACCCCGTTTCACGGAACTGTTAATTCGTTTTTGGTGGATGGAGATGAAAAATGTGGATTTCTGATTTCACAAATGACGAATATGACCCTACGCTTTCGGTTAGACAGTGCTTTGTTGGCAGAAATCGCCTTTTTGACTCCCTATGTTTGTAGCGAATAATCATCTTGCCCCTTCTTCTCAAGCTTGATCGATTGACACCAAGATTGATAAAATCGCCCACTACCGTTGTTGATTAATAAGACATTGAAAAAGGAGTCAATTGTACCCTTAAAACTATTAGGACTTAATTGAATTTTTTGAAAACTTTCCTCCTCCATGGATGACTAGTTTGCCACCTAATCATTAAAATGGTAACCAAACAGTAAAGATTTTGGTGTTGAGGTTATTAAAAATTCTAACAACTCAATTTAATCCTTAAATATTTTTAAAAGTGCAATGGGGTGTGTTTTTAACGATCTAGCTTATGTTAGTTATAGGATAATAATTTTACTCAATTCATCATATATTTATCATCTTCTTCCAATATAATTATGATAAGTTTTACTTGAGTGTTGGGTTCAATACGGGGGCAATGAGATCTATACCTAACTTAATATATTTATTATTTTTAATTATGTTTTTTAAATATATATATATAATTTTGTATTTGTGCTTTAGACTTTGTTTTATATTTTTTGAGTTTTATCAAAAGGAATGAAGATGGATTAATTTCATGCTTTTAATATTTTAGGTTGTGATTGTATGTGATTTTTCAATAACAATTCTTTTTAAGAGAGATATAACTCAACTGGTCAGATTATATATTTGTTTTCTAGAGATTAACAGTTTGAGTCTCGCAAAACTCAGGATATCGGAAATTTACATGATTATTAACTTTAAAACTTGTGGAATTAGTTAATATACATCCAAATTGGTCCAAACACCCATATTAATCTATAAAATGAAAAAAAAAAAACCAAGCAAGTCATGCACTTATTATGTGAACTGTGAATAAAATTCTTTACCCCCTTCTAATCAAATCAAATGTGAGAACAGATAATAATCACAGGTATTTTACATTGAGCGTGGTGGACACACAAAAAATCACCTTACCTTTAGATGGTATTTAATTAGTTAGAAAATATGGAGATTATGGTCACATAGATATATTTTGTTGAAGAAATAAAAATTCAAATATAAAAATAACCTAGTTATTGGTACAATTTTAAAGTGAATTTTATACTTTTAAAATAAAAAAATAATATAATAAAAATAGTTATTATTATAATTTTAAAACCCGCTTTAAAGATTTACCCGGGATAAGCCCTAAATTAATCCAGGTTGATCCTATTTTTTTAAGTATCAAAATGATACCATTTCAAATAAAAAAAATTATATAAAAAAGTTATTTGGTTTTGATCAAGTTTTACCTTGTATCATCAGTCGACTTAGGTTTTATAATTAGAATTATTATACTATTATCAATCACAATACTCAATATAAAAAAAATATCTAATTATTTTTTAAATATATAAGTCTAATAATAATATATATTCTGGATTAATAATTTTTTTATATTTTAATTTTTCTTGTCTACCTTTAACCAAATATAATAGTTACCTCATCTTGTATATAAGTACAAAACACAATTTTTTCATCTCTATTCTCACTATGTTTGTTTTTTTTTTTTTTTTTCTCAAGGCAATAACCATATACTATCTAATTGTGGGCACAATTGACCAACCCTCTGTCTATTGTCATGTGAAAGCGCCAAATCAAATCAAATGCAAGAATAGATGTTGATCATAGGTATCTCACATTAAGTGTGGTGGACACATAAAAAATTATCTTATTTTCAGATAATGTTTGATTAGTTAGAAAATATGGAGATTATATAGATATATTTTGTTGAAGAAATAAAAATACAAATATAAAAATAACCTAGTTATTAGTATAATTTTAAAGCGAATTTCATACTTTTAAAATAAAAAGATATAAAAATAACATAGTAAAAATAATTATTATTATAATTTTAAAATTCGGACTACATATTAACTTGGGAGAAGGCCTAGATCAATCTGGGTTGACCTTATTTTTTTAAGCATTAAAATGATATCATTTCAAATAAAAAAAAATTTATATAAAAAAATCATTTGGTTTTGATCGAGTTTTATCCCGTGTCATGAGTCGATTTAGGTTTTATAACTAGAATTATTATACTATTATCAATCTCAACACTCGATACAAAAAAAAATCTAATTATTTTTTAAAATATATAAGTCTAATAATAATATATATTTAGGATAAAATAATTTTTTTTATATTTTAATTTTTCTCATTCACCATTAACCAAATATGATAGTTACCCTATTTGTTTATCACTGCAAAACATAATTTTGTCATCTCTATTCTCATTATATTTGTCTTTTTTATCTCAAGACAATAACCATATACTATCTAATTGTGGGCACAATTGACCAACACTTTTCAATTTCCATGTGAAAGCACCAAATTCACAACATAAGGGACTAAGACGAATATTTGCCTCAAACATCTAGCCTTGTTTGTTTGATGTTTGTCAAACTCGGAGCATCATGTTGGTAATCTGAAAATCAACCGAGCCCCAATAAAAGTATAAAATAAACAGAAAACATAAACAAAATCCCTAACAGCAACAGCTCTAAACAATAAATACCCTTCAAATCCCCAAGTTATCTCTCTAGAAATCATTCAAATAACTTATCAGGTATGCCTTTTTAGCTAATTTTCCAGCTCTTGGTTTTCTTTTGTTTTTATTGATATTGTTTCTGATTTTGGAATTTGAGATTTTTTTTAAGCGTTGAAAAAGGAAGATTGATAGAGCAAGTACAGGATAATGACGGCTTCTTCATCAGCTGAAGCTATTCCAGCAATGCAGGTAAACGAAATCACTTTTAAAATTGTGGGTCTTTCTTAAAATCTCTATTTCTTATCAATTAGAGCCTCAAGTTGTTGTTTTTGTATGTATAAGTGTGGTTTTCTTGATGAGGTTATGTTATGGTGCTGTTGTTGTTTCATTGGTAGGAAATTATGTTGGAGTTTCGTGCTGGTAAAATGGTTTTTGATGGAAAAAAGGTTGTTCCTGATTCACGAAAGGGACTAGTTCGCGTTGGAAGGGTAAACTGCACCCTTTTTTTTGTATTACATATAGTTCGTGCCTATGTAAAGATTTTCATTTATTTAGTACAAGATATTATGTTTTTCTAGCATCTTGTTTTCCTATTTGAAGTCACAAGTTTTGTATTGTGCCAGGGTGAGGAGGGTTTGCTTCATTTTCAGTGGCTTGATAGGAACTTGAATGCTGTGGAAGATGTATCTTTTTATTTATATTTATATATATATGTTTGCTTCGTTGATATTTCTTGTGGTTGGAGCTTGGTACTTTTTTCTTGACGCATTGACTGATAGGATCAGATTATTTTTCCTGAAGAGGCTGTTTTTGAGAAGGTACACTCACTTCTTTCTCATTTTTCGTAAGTTGGAGGATATTTGTCTTTAATAATTTGTCTTAATATCATGATTCATTGGCTTATTCAGGTTAATCAAGTTTCGGGAAGAGTTTACATCTTGAAATTCAATACAGATGACCGGAAGTTTTTTTTTTGGATGCAGGTTAGGCTCATTTTCTGTGTCTTTCACCTTCTCATCTGTAGCATTGACTTTGCTGTTTGTTGCATGATTTTGGAACATTTTGTATAACATGTTTGCAGGAGCCAAAAGCTGAAGAGGACTCACAATTATGTAGTTCTGTCAACTATTATATCAATCTTCCATTAGGTAAATTTTTATTGCATGTTTTGAGTCCTTGGTTAACGATGCTACCCTTCATTATTTTGTTTCTAATAATCCTGGCTTATGTTTGAAAGCAAGATCCCCCCCCCCTCCATTCTCTTACATGGAGGCAATTTGATGTAGTTGATAAATCACTTTTTGCTAATTTCACATAAGAACATTGTATAATTGCACAATTTTCATCCCTCTTAGAGGGTGCCTTTTTTTTATCTTGCATCTGCATTTTCTTCTCGCATCTTCACAATTTCATAAAGAAATCCTCTTTTACACGGAAAGGTCATGTATGACTGATTGGATTTCTTGTCTTGTTTTCCTAGTTAAACACTTGGTAAGAGTGAACTTCGTTTTTTGTCTTCCTACAATTTCTCTAACCAGTTTTAAACCATCAAACTAATGGCCTGGCTTATAACTTCCGCACTTGTTCTTGAGTGAAGTTCTTATATCAGCAGTGTCACTGCTTTGTCTTGTTGTCTGGCAGAGTTCCTTGATGAAGAAGAGCCTGATGCTGCTGCTCCTTTGCAAGTTTCTGAAGACACGCTTGAAGATAATGTCTCATCAAGGTACATTTGTTCCAACAAACCAACGTTCTCAAAGATGACATTCCTGATTCTGTTCCTTTATACAATGTTCTGATTACCTAAGATGTGGTAAAGTCCCTTGTAAGTCTTCACATAGATGACCTAAGCTACTTGCTATCAATAGCTATTTAACAAATATCAAGATATCTTTCAAGGCATTTTTCAGAACCATGTTCTCAATGAAACGTCTCATCTGCCACTTAGCCTTTGTCTAATCCACCATCCCCTTATGCCCTTGCACAGGCTTGCCCCTGGATAACTTCTAAAACTCAGGGAATCTCTTATATTGAAATTTATGGTCATAAATTGGTGTTTGTTATGTATAAACTTGTTTAGTTCCTGTGATTCATTGCAAAATAACTTAGGAAAGGTTGGGGAGCACTTTTATTATGGAAAAAGTAGCTGCCCAATATATATATAAACACATTATGTGGTGTTTTTCTTTTATTCTGATGAGATTTTTGCTCATAACTTTCAGGGCTGGAGACTTAGTTGTCCCAAACCTTGGTGCAGAAGCAATTAGTGATGTAACCTCTTCATCGGGGCCAGTGAAAATGGAAGACTTGCAGAGAATCCTGAGTAATATTGGTGCTAGAGGTATGTTCTCAGAGAGTACTTTTGTCCATATTTCTGTATGCTGTCCTTAGGTATGACCATTGAATTTTTGTGTGATGTGATGTGATGGTACATGGTGCAGGTGGTTCCAGTGATCCAGATGAAGGTAATTTATTCATGCTTATTTTATATGTGTGTAGTAAGCTGTGAAAGGATTTTAAAACCTTTCTTTCCTGCAAATTATATGCTCAGGCATGTGATGCATTATTGTAAAGTCTTTCTTTCCATGATGTTTTCTTTTGCTGTCCTAGGCTTAGGATTAGGGGATCTACTGAAGCCTGATTTGATAATGCCATTGATTGAGACGTTGTCTCTTGAAGAAGGATTAACATCTCACTTACCTGAGGTATAAGATGTTCTTATGTTTGGTATTTCCTCTATTTTTTATGTTGGTGCATTTTGCAGTAATTATGAGGTTGCAGGGTCACTGGACTCCAGAGGATATCTTAGATTTGTTGCAGAGCCCTCCTTTCCGTCAGCAAGTGGATTCTTTTACTTATGTAAGAAATGCAAGGCGGCCCATCTGTCTTGTTCTGTTTCTTGTCTTTTTCATGATAGCTTGTTTTACAAGGTCTAACACTTTTCTTCTTGTTTGAAGGTTCTCCGAACTGGACAAATAGATTTGTCTCAATTTGGGGTCGACCCCAGTAAATGTGAGTGGTTTGTGGTTCCTGAACCTGCAGCTTATCAATTGTTCCTAAATTCATGGTTCTCTTCAGAAAATCATTCACATATCTTCATGACTTAACTGAAGTCTTTTTTTGGGAAGTTGACCAGGATTGATTATATAATTCAAGGGGAAAATGTGGGAAGTTTTGACCAGGATTGATTATATAATTCAAGGGGAAAATGAACTGAGTTTAGAGGGCTTCATGTGAAAGATGAATGCCAAATGTGGCACATTAAAAGGGAAAAAAGAATCAAATGTTGGGCCCATGGACTCATGCTGCTGCTTGCAGCTACCTTTGGTTTCAGGCCTCCACACAAGGAGTCTTGAGTGGCAACATAAATTGTTCATCAATCTATTATTGCATGGTACCCTGACTAAATTATGATTAATACTTGCTAGTTTTCTCCTGGCATGCAGACAAGTTCACAGTTTTATCTTTTCTGGAGGCACTTGAAGATTCAGTTTCCAAAATGTCTGAGGAATCCACCCAAGAGGGCAAGGATTTGAGACCTCAGTCTCATAACCGCAATGATCCAATGGACGAGGGCAAGTAGTGGAGAAAGATTCATGCATCCCTGTTGTTTCGTGTTTCTCATGCTCATTTCTACTGTACAAGAGAACTTCTGCCGCCTTAATTTTTCTATTTAGACACTTTTCTGCCGATGGTAAGATGGGGAAAATGATGGAAAAGTGATTCTCTCCTTCAGTTTACCAACAATTCGGTGCAGGCGTACAGTACCTTCTAGGATTTTAATTTGTTTTATTGATAGGCTATACATTAAATTTACGAGTCAAATCTCACTATCAATATTGTCGTCATGCTGCGTTGTTGATTTAAAGTACAATTCAGTACAGGCGTGCATCATGTTGCCATCATGTTGCCCTTTTGATGATATCCTATTTTGGTGATTAGGAATATGGGCGTATCTATGCTGGAATGAAGTGTTAATATAATTGCTCTAAATTTGGGATGCTTTTCTTCGATGAGCAGCACCTCCTTGCAGTAGCACCCCGACCAAACTGGCGTCGTAGCTTTTTGAAGAGGGTTATTCACGATGTTTTTGCCATGTCTCCTGGGGAGTGGGGAGAGTTGGTGGGTGCTAGGAAATGGACGCCAACTTAGGTTTTGGTGTAATCAACACTGGATGGGGCAAGGGCTTCTGCTGCTGGATTGGACAAATATTTTAAGAAGTTGATTATAATTCAGACCTCTTATTCAACACGAATGATTCTTCTATTCTCGTCCATTGGCTTTCTTTGACAGATAAAAGAGAATAGGAAGATTAAGAAAGCGAACAGAAAAGATAATGCAATCTGGATCCAAGCTCGAATATAAATCTGGGAAGAAATGTAGGTTATATACAAGTAACAAATACATCTTAAAATCGAAGTATATCTAAGGCTTAGAGGCTGATTCTCTCTCTCTCTTTTGAATGCACCATGAATTAACTTTATTTTCAGGAAGAATTGTGGGGATCAAAATATTTTTAGATGTAAGAAAAAAACAGTCTTAGTAAATTCTTTATTTTTATTAAACATGAAAATATAGTCAATAATTTTTTTATTAAGATAAATTTTTCTATTAAAGGTATCTCTTGTTTTAATTCTTCTACTTGATCCCTATTAAACAAAAACCAGAAAGCCATAAAACACCCGACATCCCAGCTAACATGAGCTAAATGTTCACGAAGCCCTAGGATGCATTTATGTTGTATTTGTATTCATAACGGCTGAAACTAAAACTAAGGTTGTCAATTTTGCTTTGATAGATATTTTGTTTTTTCAATTGAAATATAATGTTTTAGTTTTGAAGTATTTTGATGTGTTGTTTCAGGATTATACTGTTTATATATATACAGGTGTATACTGTTTATATATATATATATATATATATATATATATATATATAAAATTTAACAAATATAATTCAAATTCAAAATAAATTAATTATAAATTATATAATACAAATACAATGTCAAACAAATATAATATTAAAATTTAAAATATTTCTAAATAGCTAAGCTATTCTATGTGATGTCTTTCATAAAGGTGCAGGGATTTGACAATCGATAGAGTTGGTGAATTAAATAGATCTTTAACTTAAGTAATTCAATTTAAATAAAATATTAAAATATTATGAAAATAAAATGTTTTAACACAAATATTTTAGATATAAAGCTAATCAATGTTATCAAAACTAATAAGATCTAAAACATTCCTTGTTTTTCTAAAATTTCAACAAAGTATAAACATGAAAAAAAACAATATGAATATAAACTATATCTATTAGTAATAAATCTAATTTAAAAAAAAATATCATTTTTATTGAAAAAAATAAAAAGAACCTTTTTATATTTGGATGATTTAATTAATTAAACTGAATCAGGTTTAATTTAATTCATAAGATTGGAACAAAATATGTAAAATAATACCAAAATATTCCAGCCAAAATTTAGTTAAAAAATGTGGAATGAATTAAAATTTGAAATGGGATGAAAATTTTTTATTTTATTTTATTTTTTAAATTAATATAAAATATTTCGGTTATTTAAGAAGAAATGAAACGGAATTGATAAATGTTTTTATTGCCTAAAATATTTTTAGCAACAGCTAATTGTCATGTCATTAGTGGGCCATTAAGGCCCATTAGAATTTGAAACGGGGCACTAAATACTTTTCGCCTGATCATAGAGCAAGAAAAAATTGGTATAGGCCCGCCTGAATAATTCAAGCCCAATCAAGAAAACACACTTGTTGCCAAATACTCACAAGAGAACGTTGTCGTTTCTTCCTCTTCTTCTTCATCCTTTAAACCCTAAATGCTCATCAAAAGGGTTTTGCTAAGAGTTCTCTCTCCCAAATCTAAACTCATAAAGCACACTAAACCGACACCATTCTCTTTCGATTAAACTCAATTCAAAACCCTAATTCTCACACCAGTCTCAATCTCTCTCCAAAGATGGGTATCTTCGAGCCATTCAGAGCCATCGGATACATAACAACCGGCGTGCCGTTTTCCGTCCAAAGATTGGGCACTGAAACCTTTGTCACAGTCAGTTTAGGCAAAGCTTTTCAAGTTTACAATTGTGCAAAGCTCACTTTAGTCATCGTCAGCCCTCAACTCCCTCACAAAATACGCGCTTTAGCTTGCTATCGTGACTTCACCTTCGTCGCCTACGCAACCCACATCGCCGTCTTCAAACGCGCCCATCAAGTAAATTAAATTTAAACGAAATGGAACGACACGACTTGACACGACTTAATATGTGAAATATATGAATTTGATTGAATTTTGTTTTTGTTTTGATAGGTGACGTTGTGGAGTAGGCATAGTGCGAAGGTGAATTCGTTGATGGTATTTGGGGATTATGTGATAAGTGTTGATGTTGATGGTAATTTGTTTATTTGGGGTTTTAAAGGGCTTGATGAGAGTAATGTGCCGGTTGGGCATATTCTGTTCGAGGATAAATTTACACCAACTTGTATGATGCATCCGGATACTTATTTGAATAAGGTTTTGATTGGGAGTCAGGAGGGGGGTTTACAGCTTTGGAATGTTAGTACAAAGAAAATGTTGTATGAGTTTAAAGGGTGGGGTTCGTCTGTGACTAGTTGTGTGTCCTCACCTGCGTTGGATGTTGTTGCGGTTGGCTGTTTAGATGGGAAGATTCATGTGCATAATATTCGTTATGATGAGGAGGTGGTTACGTTTGTGCATTCTATGCGTGGTGCTGTGACCTCATTGTCTTTCAGTACAGGTAAATTAGTTATATTGCTTTAGGTCTGTGATTTCGGTATAGGAACAGCGTTCTGTTGTTTATGATAATTTGATTCTAGGTTAAAGCTCGTTATTTCTTGGTTTTTTAGATGGACAACCACTTTTAGCGTCAGGAGGTTCATCTGGTGTTATAAGCATATGGAATCTGGAGAAAAGAAAACTACAATCAGTTGTTAGAGATGCTCATGATAGTTCGATAATTTCATTGCACTTTTTAGCTAATGAACCTGTGCTGATGAGTTCATCAGCAGACAACTCTATTAAAGTAAGATGCATTTCAGCCTCTGCTTATATGGATTGTAAAAGGAGATGCTACAACAATAAGTTCTCAGTCTTGCATGTGTTGAAAGCCTTTATCATGTGCATTTTTAATTTTTTTTTTTTTAGTTTTTGGCGCCTATTTTGACATGCCTCTAGCTGTTTGCTTTGTTAAACACTAAATTCTGATGGTCTAGTATCTAGTTGTTCAATTCAATATTTGTTAGCATCACATAGTGATTGAAACTTGTGAAAGATGGTATAGACTGAACTGAATATTTTGCAGCCTAGTTTAAAGAAATTGGGCAATTTACATCAAGTCTTCACCATCTGATGATACAAAGTATCCAAATGATTTTCAAGAATGAAAGCAGAGATATGTTGTACTTTTTCTTATAGAATATTCCTAAGGATGAAACTCCAAAATTTGCCACAAAACAGATACCTAAAGCTATTGCATTGGATGCTAAGTATAATATAATGATGATGGTTTCTTTACAGTGGACATTGAATTTGCTTAACCAGCATAATAATTTTTTTAGCTTGTGAATTCCAATACTTGCTTTGTTTATCCTATATGTAGATGGTTGATCTTTCTTTCGCTACTTAGATTTGGATTTTTGACACAACTGATGGAGATCCTCGACTTTTACGTTTTCGAAGTGGACACAGTGCTCCCCCACTTTGCATAAGGTAATATGCCTGACAGTGTAACTTTAGGATTGGGATTTATATTGTTCAGTTTCTTCTTCAATATAATTGAACATATGCAGCATTTTGCTAGGCAAAGGTCTGTATGATTCTCGTGCTCTACTCATAATCATTGATCCTGCATTCCCTGTTCTTAGTTTTCCTATTTATCAAATGGTTTCTCACCTAATTGAGAACGTCTACCAACCTTGACTGTGAGTTCCAACACTTAACTAGATATGAAAGTACCTGCAATAACTAACTCATGCCATAGCTTGTTTTGAAATTCATGTGAAAATTTCCTTCATTTTTGCATGACATCCGTGTGACCTGAAAATTATTCATCTACGACAGGTTCTATGCAAATGGGAGACACATTCTATCTGCTGGTCAGGATCGTGCCTTTCGTCTTTTCTCTGTCATACAGGTTTGGAATTTTCCAATATTGAATTGAATTTTCGTCTGCTTTATGGATAATTTTTATATAGATGTGAAAGTTCTGTTCTTGGAAACTTTTGTTCATAGCTCTCTGATGTTCACTCATGTTTTCCATTCTAATATGGTTCGAGTAAATTCTGTTGTCCGTGTTAGCACTTTGAATAGAAGAAAGGGGGTTTTATCTGATTACATGGAACCAATGGAAAAAATATGTAAAATATACATTTTATATAATTATGTAAAATATTTGTTTGGTATGATTTCTTTATAGTTTTTGTCAATAAATCAATATTCAAGCAAAAATTGAATTCCATAGAACCTTTTTTCATATTAAAATCCTTACATTTTACATGCTGACTAAGTAAAAGAACTGAAGTGAAAAATGACTACCATCTTCTCCATAAACCTTACCCCCACTACACAGCCATTGTGTAAATGGATGGGCAAATAATAAGTTGTCTCTTACAGGTCATTTCTGTTTCTCCAATATTATTATTGGAATGAACCACACTCTCCAGGTGTATTGTGTTTGGTTATGTTCTTGAATTTCTGTTTTGACCCTTCTCCTGAAAATATTATTTAATCATTTATTCAACTTTTACATTTATCAGGACCAACAAAGTAGAGAGCTCTCTCAGCGTCATGTATCCAAACGAGCCAAGAAACTTCGGGTAAAGGTATGATTGGGGGTAATGGTTGGTACTTTACAATCTAGTTTTGCCCTATAAAATATGTTGTGGTTAAATTTCTGTGAACTTGGTTGCTAGTATATTTTATGAATATTGTATCAGTGGCTCTCTTGGTCTTTCATATATATATATATCTGCAAGGATATTGCATTATTCACTGTCTTACACATGAGGAATTGGGTCAATTAAAATATCTAGCAGCTATAAGTGTTGGGTCTATGCCTGTAAAAGCATTAAATTCCTTAATCTTTTTCAATGCATTTTAATATGATATTCTTACACAGGTCTGTTTAAAATGATTCTTCTGGTTTTTACTTGTTTACTTGTCGATTATAGATTAGTTTCTCATTTTT